TCAAACATTGATTCACAAAGGCATTTTAATAACTCCCCTAAATAACAACAGTACATCTCTAAACCCCAAAGGGAAGAACATTTTTCTTGAGGAAAGTATGCTGTTATCAACGGATTCATGCCTCCTGATAACTCCTATTCTGTGGTTCTTTTCAAAGGATCAGATTGACAAGAATAAAGCCTTCCCCCCCAACTTCTCCAAAGACTAATTTCTCAGTCACATGTTAAAATTATATAAAATATTCACTCATTTGAGGGATATTGTATCTTATTTGATTAATCTTTGGTAAGAGAGATAAAATTCGGACATCATCTTTCACACTGTCATAAGAAATTCTAACATGTGCTTTAGGAATTTCACATGCTAGCAACTCAGGCAATCTCCTAATCCCAATCAGAAGAATTTTAACCCCTATAAATTTTTCTTTACTCTTATTGCCTTCTTTCCTGCTGTAAAGTTGGGCTCATGTCAAATAGAGTACAATTTAGAAAAACTTGTTGCTGTCGAGTCGATCCTGACTCATAGTGACCCTATAGGACAGAGTAAAAATGCCCCATGGGGTTTCCAAGGAGTGGCTGGTGGATTTGAACTGCTGACCGTTTGGTTAGAAGCTGTTGGTTTTAACCACTGCACCACCAGGGCTGCACAATCAGAAAAGACAACTAAATTTTAAAAAAACATTTTGATATAAAAGCGCTCACAAATAAAGGGTGACATCTCTTAAGATATATATAAATCATATTAAAATAAAAATAGCTCCATAGGAAATCCTAACAGATAGAAACAATTCTCTGCTATGACAACTGCAATGAATCTTGCTTACTCTCTCAAAAACTCCTATCCCATTGTGTCACTAGTGTGATCTATCAAAGAAATCTGGCCATGGGATTCTCCAGCATAGAACTTTTCACAAGTTTTTGTTAACTTCCCATGACATGTGCTGCTTTTTACGAGGTTCTCTAGGATCTGGTCCCAGCTGGACTTCCATCACTGCTGGCCTTGTGGTTTGGGTCTCCGAACTGCCTGTGGCTCCCCTTCCCATCCCCACACCCTAGAAGTTCAGCACTCAGTACTTCCGTACCTCTGCCAGAGGTACTGGGCTCCTTCCTCCTGCCTCTCTATGGGCTTTACTGTATAATTCTCCTCAATTTTTATGCTATGGTTTTTAGCTCCTGTAGAAAACTACCCTTGACCATTATCTTTACTAAATTCTCTTCCCCCCTGCACATTTCTGTGAACTAAACTTGCATTTCCTAAAGGGCAAGGACAAGATCTTATTCATTTTTGCATCCCTAGCTCCTAATAGAGTGTTAGACACATACCAGCTGCCAGTTGCCTTCGAGTTGACTCTGACTCATGGTGACCCCACGTGTGTCAGAGTAGAACTGTGCTCCGTAGGGTTTTCAATGGCTGATTTTTCAGAAACATATCACTGGGTCTTTCTTCCAAGGTGCCTCTGGGTGGACTCAAACCGCCAGCCTTTCAGCTGGCAGCTGAGTGCATGAACCATTTGCAACATCCAGGGACTTCATTAGACACATAATAGGCCTTAAATATTTGTAAAACTCTTGAGTAATGTGAATTAAGAGCAGTTTGATTTTTTTAAGAGCTCATTTTCTTAAGATATTAATTAATATGACCTTGAAAGAACTGATTTTGAAAAACTGTTCATTTCTAACCACTTGGGAAACAACAATCCTCTTTTTAGAGTACTTTATGTTTAGAAAAATTAAATGTGAAGGTGGCACAGAGCAGTGGGGGGAGCCAATTATTTTACCCTCCTTTCCAATGCTGCCCTTCACTGAGCTCTGTAATTATGAGTAGATGCTCCATAGGGTTTTCTGCAGCATACTAGTATGCACATCATCAGTTCAACCCATGATGTGAACAACTTCAAAAAAATCCAAAAGTTGATGAAAACTTTATCTAAAAAGTTTTGATAAGGCTTGTATTAGAGAAAAGGTATTTTAGTCAGCTAGAGTTTTCTCAGAATCAGACAAAGTTTCTATAAACCACTGTTCTAAAACAAAAAATTAACTGATAGTTTAGCCTAATACTTTTTTTTTTTAAGAAAAGTTGCCCTGTGACTTAAAACTTTTTCTTTTCTGCATAGATTTTTTCCATGTCTTCTGTAGTCTGGCAGATTGGGTATTTTGCTATATTAAAGAAGATAATAAACCACTTTTCTTTTAAACACTGTGTACTCGGGATTTAATGAACATTGTGTATCAGACCCACGGCTGATTTTAAATTCTAAATCTAATAGTTGAAATAAAATAAGCACCTCTCTCCCCCAAAACACTCTGACAATAAACTAAAACCTGTGAAACTGAATATTATAAATCCTTTCATATAGTTACATATTTCTTAATCTTCTAAATTCTTCAATAAACTCATTTGATCTACAGTTGAGGACTTGTCTCAGAATTCGAAGTAATCCTCTTCTCTCCTGCTCATTTGGCAAGCCTGCCATAAAGGCTTTCGTCATTCAAATCCCTCCCCCGAGACAACTGTCCTCCCTTAAGTGCAGCATCGTACGTTTAGAAAACTACACGAAGGTCTAACCTTGCCTGTTAGCTTTTCTTCTTTAAAGCACAAGACGATGCTTGAAAATCTTACAACATGTTCTCTGTTTTGTCAAAAAACTTGGAATAAAAATCAACAAAGCTGAGTCCTTTAAGGACAGTACCCCAGGATACACAATTCCTGCCCCTCCTTCACTCAGCTGTTTTTATAATCATTATCGATGGATATGAATCAGTTGCTAATAGGGCAATCCACTTGAATGGTTAAAATGGATGAAATGAAATTAACTGATAGGACAGGAGAGCAATCATATTCATTTTCCATGTGTGAATCACATCCTAACAGTCCTAAGGTGCTAGATCTGGAGCCCTCTAGTGGTGGTGCAAGGTGGTTCTGGTCTTTAAAAAGTCACTTATTAGCTGGTCTTCATTTTCTCACCTACAAAATATATTTGTTTATTTAGTCATTAAATAATTTATAATCAAATCCTAAAGGCCACAACCTGTCCTAGTCAATGACGATAAAGCAGAGGTTCAAAAAATAATTCACCGTGTAGTGATCAGATAGATAAGGAAAAGAACAGTTATAAAGCAGTGTGCTGTCTTTGCAGGAGGTAAGGTAACAGAATCAGGGAGGATGATACCTCAAATGTTGAGAGAACTAGCAAAGCTTTTGTAGGAGAGCTGAGGTCTGAGCTGAGTCATAAAGATAAAGGAAAGATTACCCAGACCTATAGAAGAGTATATACAAAGCATGGCACTTCTGAGGTGGTAAGGGAGATTAGACTACTGATTACAAAAGAAGAAGAGGCATAGAAGAAGCTAGGCAAAGACAGGTATAGGGCAAATCAAAAATTTGGAATCCACATTGTAAGCAAAAGGAAGCTATTAAGGAATTTTAAGCCAAAGAGTTTCATGGTTAGGTTTATGATTTAGAAATATTACTCCACTTGGAGAAGATCAGTGCAACAAGCCAGCTCTGAGATGGAAACACAAAAATAGGTAGTTAATGACAAGGCAATGCCAATGGGGATGGAGAGGAGGAGATGGGTTCATGAGCTATTGCGATATAGAACTGACGTGACTTAGGGACTGTTTGGATGCGGAAGATGAAGGGGAGGAAAAAAAAATCTAGGATTATTTTTAGAGTTTAGTTTTGGACATGTTACTTTTGTTGTACCTAGGAGATCTCCAAGTGGAAATACTGAACAGGTAGTGGGATGTATAAGTCTGGAATTTAGTAGGAATCTTTCATTGATATAAAAGACTGGGAGTTATTAATCCACCCAACATATAGATGGAGGCAGAGGGAAAGCTGTTGATGAAGGCAACAAAAAGGATGGCCCCACAGGGCAGAGAAAGAAATCGATGTTACTGAACCAAGACAATAAAGAATTTCAAGGAGAACAGAGCAAGCAATAGTGTAGAATCCTGTGTAACAGTGAGGTAAGATGAAGTGAAAGGCACCTGGTGTTTAGAGATTTCTGGTGTTGGTAGAGAGTGCAATGTTAGTGGAGTAGCTTAGCCTTGATACTCTAGTAAAGCAATGTAAATTATCTGAAAGTTGGTCTAAGATTGGCATTTAATCTGATGATTCTGTTGTTTTGGATGTAATAGTAAGAGTTAACGGGACCGTAAGAAATGGAATACTTTTTCCAGAAACTTGGGGCAAAAGAAAGAGATAAGTAAGCTAACTGACTATAAGTTCTTCATAGCTCTTTGTAGCAACAACATTCTATGAAACTCTATAGCAGAACAGTTCTGTATTAAGATACGTTAATATGCTTCCCAAGATATCTAAGTTACTACCAGCCTGGATGCTGAGAAACTGAGGAGACAGAGCTCAGGTAGGTTCATAACAGGATTCATCTATTTGGATACTTGGCTTGAGGCTGCTCAGGCAGGCAGTTCACTTTTTTTTTTTTTTAAATCATTTATTACTTTTTTTAGTTGTTGAGAATATACACAGTAGAACATACACCAACTCAACAATTCCTACATGTACAATTCAGTGATATTGATTACAGTCTTCAAGTTGTGCAACCATTCTCACCCCCATTTGCTGTGTTGTTCTTCCCACATTAACATAAACTCACTGCCTCCTAAGGTTCCTATCTAACCTTTTGAGTTGCTGTGGTCAATTTGATCCCATATAGATAGTTCTTAAAGGAGCACAGTACTCAAGGTGGATATTCTTTACCTATTAAGCTGTTCACTTTTGATCTTGTCCATGTAATAAAGTGGGTAAAGTGTGTGCAGATAGCTATCAGCCTCTTATCTCTCGGTTGGTGGTGGTGGTGGAGGAAGGTGGTATAGAATAGAACTGGGAGCACAGATCACTCATCAAAGTGCGGAAACAAGTAATTCTCAAGCAGTAGAATGAAGGAAATTATTATTTACAAGGGAGTAAAGTAACCCTGAGATAAACACACAGAAACCAGAGGGAAAGGGGTAGTCATCCTATTGTTTACTCACAGGCGGTCCTGGGGGTCCTGGTTTTCCTGGGGGTCCTGGTTTTCCTCGCCTTCCCTTGAAACCAAAGAAAAACAGATAATAAATACTCTGATTTTATTTTATTTTATGATAATATTTAACAGCAATATTGAAGAGTATAAATTAACAAAAAGTTGAAAAAACGATCCCAAATCCACATGACTTTTTAATATCAATTAATTCTAAAAGGTATGGGCCAATTGTTAACAACCAAAATGAGAAATACAGTGCCTGAAATGAATAAATCTTAACTATTATTAAGCAGCCCTTTAAACACTATCTATATTAACAACCTTGACACTCTAGTAAAGCCATATAAATTATCTGAAAGATGGTCTAAAATTGACATTTTATCTGAGGATTCTGTGGTTTTGGATACAAAAATAAATGCATTTGTCATTTAAGTTCGTGTTTTTCAAAGAGGGGTCTGAATTCTAATTTTATAAGAGTTATTGACGGTGAGAATGTGTGTTAAAAATGCATATTCCTGGGCTCCATTCCAGACTCAATGGTTTAGAATCTCTGGAAATGGAAGCCAAGAATCTACATATTTAAAACCACTTCAGGTATTTCTTATGCTTATTAGAGTTTGAAAACCATTGCCCTAAGGCATATCATAATTATATATGTTACATAAAGTCCATTAACTAGCTCTTTTCTTTTTTTTGGATGGTTAAGCTGTTTTATAAGTGCACTAAAATATATATTCCTTGCTTATTAATCCAAGTTATTGTAACCAACTGTTATCTCTTCCAAGTTCACAACCAGCTAAGTTTCAACTGCAAGACTGAAAATAAGATTGAAAAATAAGATTGTAATATATCTCTATATACACAGTTATGTGTATCTAATATCATTCAGAGTATTTATTTTTTATTATAAAATTATTTTCTTAAACTTTTTTTTTATAACAGAAGGAAGTGAGTTTACTTATTGAAAACACAAATTTTGAATGATAAGCATTTCTGAGTATATATTTTCTAAATATGGTCACTATTTCATTATTATTAAAATTTTTATTTGATTATCATGTTGATAGTATAGTAACATGTATTAAGGCTGACTGCTACTTAAAAAGTGAAGGTATTGAGTTGATCTTCTCAGTGATTTTTTTGGCAAGAATAGTATGCATAAACTCAAGACGGAGGCCCATTTCGTTCACTAAATTTTTTGCTCTGAAAATGTTAGGAAAACATGCTTGATCTTTCTGGTTTTCATCTAGGCTTATAGTAGAGGTGGGATATCCAAATGCTAGTGAAACCAGCAGAGTGAGCTTTGGGAGGGAAGCAAGCAAATACTATGCTGTCGTTGGGTGGGAAATGCTGCTATTGGTGCTGCAGACAAGTTAAGGGCATATGATCAAGGACTTTGTATAAAAACAGCTGCCTTTTAAATAAATAACTCTAGCTAATACCTACAGAAATAATTTTAATAAAATAAAAAATTTTATTAAAAGAAATTTAATTAGTGGTGTTTGCATGTACCTTTTGTTTTAGAGATCTAAACCTTGGAGTTATTTCAGGGGATTAGAAGATGGGGAGGAATATACATTTTAATATTCTGTATACTGAATACAAGTTATACACGTGTACATTATTTTCTTCTCTTGCACTGTACATTTTCTGAAAATCAATATATTGGGTCTTTTAGTAAATTAAGGTAATTAACCACTGGGGACTAATCAATGATAAAAAGTTTACTTAGAAAGCGAAAGCACTGTAATTTATTAATTCACAAGAACACAAAGAAACTAAATCGATGACATCTAAGTAGATGACTGGCTCTTTAAGCATGCATTAGTTTGAGGTACGTTACAAACTAGGATCAACTTTTGTTTGCATTCCCCTTTCTTTAAAGGAGATATGTATATTGATTTGGCCAGGAAGTAGGGAAAATGAGGCTGACCATTGATCAACTTCTATCACACAGTTAATGTTTAAAACAAATCAAGTGTCAGATATTGTAACGTAACATTGGCATGTCTTAAGACGTGGAGGAAAAAGCATTCACAATTCTGGAATGGGCAAACATCCAAATTCTTGCATATCACTGCTGATTTACACCTTTATTTAAGTCAGCCTTGCAATTGTCAGAGTGTACTGATGTGCAGGATGGAAGCGTGCAGAGAGAATGCTGATTTTGTTTATGCAGCCTTGCTAAGAGTGGACATGAAGGTAAAATATTTCTGAGGATTGTTAAATTATTGGAACATATTGTGGGCAGAGAACTTCAGTCGGCACATATTTTCAGTATAAGTGTGGTATCTGGGCTTGAGTTTCTAGTTAATGCTCTAAAGCAGATTTGAACAATTTTTCAAGGTGTGCTTTACAAAGAAACTCAGTCACCTTTTTCTTAGCACCACTACCAAATATATACTAGGAACAGGGTTAACCTTAAGTCCTAAGTCTCAGTGACCTGTGGTAGGGTCTCCAATAGGACAGAGCCCAAGGGTGGATGGATGAGAAATAGGGGTAGAAGCTCCAGGGTACTAGGGAGCTATTGAAGAGGCCTCAATTTCTATCAATATAACAGCCCAAAGCCAGTCCCAGACATTATCTTTCTTCCTTTTGGGGAGCCCCAGGTATTAACTCCCTTGTCATCCTTCCACTCTTCCCATCTGCAGCTTCTGACCAGTTCTTCACACCTTCAAGGTCCCCAGCTGCACTGAATACAACCTCACAGTCTCTTTTTTCTCTGAAAATTACTCTAAACAAAAGATGACCACCACGTGTCTGTCAGTTTGTTGTACTGTGGTGGCTTGCGTGTTGCTGTGATGCTGGAAGCTTTGCCACTGGTATTTCGAATATCAGCAGGGTCACCCTTGGTGGACAGGTTTCAGCGGAGCTTCCAGACTAAGACAGACTAGGAAGAAGGACTTGGTGGTCTACTCCTGAAAAAACTGGCCAGTGAAAACCTTATGAATAGCAGCAGAACATTGTCTGATATAGTGCCGGAAGATGAGCCCCTCAGGTTGGAAGGCACTGAAAATACAACCGGGGAAGTGCTGCCTCCTGGAAGTAGAGTTGACCTTAATGATGTGGATGGAGTAAAGCTTTGGGACTTTCATTTGCCAACATGGCACGACTCAAAATGAGAAGAAACAGCTGCAAGATCCATTAACAATTGGAATGTGGAATGTACAAAGTATGAATCTAGGAAAACTGGAAGTTGTCGAAATGAAACGGAATGCTTGAAGATAGATATCCCAGGTATTAGTGAGCAGAAATGGACTAGTATTGGTCATTCTGAATTGGACAATCACATGATCAAGTATGCCAGGAGTAACAAACTGAAGACAAACGGTTTCTCATTTATTGCCAAAAAGAACATTTCAAGATCTATCCTAAAGTATAATGCTGTCAGTGATAAGATATTATCCATACTCCTACAAACAAGACCAGTTAATAGACTATTCTTCAAATTTACACACCAACCATTAATGCCATAGATGAGGAAATTCAAGATTTTTACCAACTTCTGCAGTCTGAAATTGATCAAACATGCTATCAAGATGCACTGAGTAATTACTGGTGATTGGAATGCAAAAGCTGGAAACAAAGAAGGATTGGTAGTTGGAAAATATGGCTTTGGTGATAGAAACTACACTGGAGATCACATGATAGAATTTTGCAAAACCAAAGACCTGTTCATTGGAAATACCTTTATCAACAACATAAATGGAGGCTATATATGTGGACCTTGCTAGATGGAACACACAGGAACCAAACTGACTACATCTGTGGAAAGAGATGATGGAGAAGCTCCGTATCATCTGTCAGAACAAGGTCAGTGGCCAACTGTGGAACAGACCATCAACTGCTCATACGCAAGTTCAAGCTGAAGCTGAAGAACATTAAAAGAAATTCAGAATAGCCAAAGTCCAACCTTGAGTATAACCCACCTGAATTTAGAGACCATCTCAAGAATAGATTTGATACACTGAACACTAATGACCGAAGTCCAGACAAGTTGTGGAATGACATCAAGGACAACATACATGAAGAAAGCAAAAAATCATTAAAAGGAAAGAAGGAAAAGACTAGAATGGATGTCAGAAGACACTGTGAAACTTGCTCTCGAACACAGAGCAGCTAAAATGAATGGAAAAAACGATAAAGTAAAAAAGCTTAAAAGAAGTTTTCAAAGGGCGGCTCGAGAAGACAAAGTAAAGTATTACAATGAAATGTGTAAAGACCGGAGTTAGAAAAGTGAAAGAGAAGAACACATTCGGCATTTCTTAAGCTGAAAGAAATGAAGAAAAATTCAAGCCCCAAATTGCAAAACTGAAGGATTCTTTGGGCAAAACACTGAACAATGCAGGAAGCATCAAAAGAATATGGAAGGAATACACAGAGTCAACATAGCAAAAATAATTGGTTGACGTTCAATCATTTCAGGAGGTAGCATATGATCAAGAACCTATGGTATTGAAAGAAGTCCAGGCTGCACTGAAGGCATTGACAAAAAACAAGTCTTCAGGAATTGATGGAATATCAATTGAGATGTTTCAACAAACTGATGAAGTGCTGGAGGTGCTCACTCACCTAAGCCAAGAAATTTGGAAGACAGCTACCTGGTCAACTGACTGGAAGAAATCCATATTTCTGCCTGTTCCAAAGAAAGGAGATCCAACAGAATGCAAAAATTATCGAATAACATTATTCATACCACACACAAGTAAAATTTCCCTGAAGGTAATTCAAAAACGTTTGTAGCAGTACATCAACAGGGAACAGCCAGAAATTCAAGCCAGATTCAGAAGAGGACGTGAAATGAGGAATTTCATTGCTGATGTCAGATGGATCTTGGCTGAAAGCAGAGTATACCAGAAAAATGTTTACCTGTGTTTTATTGACTATGCAAAAGCATTCGACTGTGTGGATCACAACATATTATGGATAATATTGCGAAGAATGGGAATTCCAGAACACTTAATTGTGCCCGTGAGTAACTAAGAGGCAGTCATTCGAACAGAACAAGTGGATACTGCGTGGTTTGAAATCAGGAAACATATGCATCAGAGTTGTATCCTTTCA